GAAAGAGGAGGATTTTGTAAAGAAAGAAAGGTAGTATCTCACACAATGACAGGGTAAAAGCAAGTTGCAACCCCTCCCCCAATAAAGAAAACATGAAGCAACTATAATGTTTCTAGAATCCAGAGTGTTATTATGGGTAGCACAAGCCCCAGGAAGTTGTATAATATTGACTGTAGGACAAGATGAAACAACCTGAAACACATCATCATCATTTGTGGGGGAGCATGTAGTCACTCATCCAATATATATTTACCTTTTTTTTTTTAATTGAAATATAGACAGGTACAGTGTGCCATTTTCTGGAGTACAGCAAAGCATTTCCATTATACATAAATCTACACTTATTTGTTTTCATATTTTTTCATTATAAGAACACATGTATTTATCTTGCTTCTCTTATGCCTGGGAACGGTGCTGGGGGCTGGGGCTGGGGGGAACGGAAGGATAGGGCACAGGCCCTTTGATGAGGGTCTTTGCTGCTAATGAACGAGCCCAAACACACTGGAGAACATGGGGGAGCAGCTGCCAAGCTGGCTGAGGACGTCAACACGGAGAGTTTGGAAAAAAGTGAGTCCTGAGCCAGCGGAGGATGGGTCGGTCAAGGGGAGGCCATGAGAAGCCAGCATCAGAGGAGGGGCAGCAGAGAGGGAAGTGGGGGAGGAGTGGAAGGGCATCTGGGTACCCCCCCCCAACCCCAGCCCCTGGCTGTGACCCTTTTACCTTACGGGCCACACAGGTTTGTGTCTGTATTGCCAGTGGCGAGCTCAGTGTCGTTCAGGGAGGCCCTGGGCCATGTCAGTTGGAGGCTGGCTGGATAATGAATGAGAGGGAGGTGGAAAACTGCATGATCAGCTTCTCAGAGGCCCATAACACTAAATGTCAACATCTATTGAGCACTTGCTGTATGTGGAGGGCTCGGCAGGCATTGCTTCATTGACTGTTCACCACAGCTTTTTGAGATAAGAAGCCCCAGCATCGTCCTTTGACAGAGGAAAGTCCCCTGGCTCATGAGATGAGCAGGCAGATACAGGTACACTTTGAGATGTCGGGAAGAGACATCAGGAAAGTGAAGGCTGCAGAGCACCACATCTTCAACCCACAGTAGGATTCAAGTTGCTCTCAGGATTGAATACAGCCACCATGAGGGTTGAATGGAGAGTAGCTAAGCAGTCATGAGACCTGATGGGCTGCAGGCAGGGCTCCCCCCGCAGACCGCGTGTGCACGGACGTGCAGGTACGCACCCAGTTGTGTGTCAAAGGAATACGAGCACCCTTATCTCGGGGAAGAGCTGAGAGGGGTCAAAAGAGAGGAAGAAAACGAAGGTAAGTAGATGAAGGGGCTGTGGGAGGGCTGAAGCCTGGGAGTGTCCAGAGAGAGGCCTCAGGACTCTGAGACATTGGACAGAATTTCATGCCTGATGTCAGTCCCCTCCTTTTACAAAGTGCCACATATTGCATGGCAAGACGTTCTGGTTAATTTTTCTAGGCATGGGAGTGGCATGATGGTTATAGAGACATATTTTTTAAGTCCTTCTCATTAGAGATGGATGGTCACTGAAATAAAATGACATGATGTTTGTAAGACAAGGGGATCTTGAGGAAAAAGTAAAAATTTGGAGCAATGTAACATGACAAGGTCTCTAAAAAAGGGTGATCTGGCCATAAACCAAACAAAGGGGAGATGAAAGAGTGGTAGAAATCTTTAGCAATCTTACTTCATTTTGGGAACAATAAATGGAGCAACTGCAGCGTCCATGAAGAGAAAAATGAATTTCAAAAATAAAACATTCTGTCTCCTATATTAAAAGACACCTTCTACATATTTTATTTGTGCAGAAAAGGCATCAGGGTTAATTACATAGCAGATGTGGGTATTTAAACAAAGTACACAGGTGACTGAGAGATATATTTAAGCAGTGTGAAAACCAGCTAGCCTGCCCACCTCTTCACCTCTCCACCCTGGAAGAAAACTTCTTAGCTACTGATAACCTTTAATTTTGTAACAGAATTGCAAATGCTTATTAAAAAGGTGGCTCTGACCTTTCAAATTTAAAAGTAGGTTTAGCATGGCACCATAGACAAACCCCGTCTAGCCTCAGCAAGGGGGCACGTGACTGAACACAAGGGCTGAAATTAGAAATTAGAAATGTAGAAATTTCTGCGTCTCTACTAATGAACCTCAGTTAGTTTCTGAACGATTCTTGTCACATTAGATCTCAATTCTCCAGAGTGAGTGAACTCTGGAGATCGTACCCATAAAAAGACTCTTGAGGTTCAATTTGTTAGATATCTATGTGTGTATATGTGTGTGTGTGTGTGTGTGTGTGTGTCTGTGTGTGTGTGTCTGTGTGTGTGTGTGTGTGTGTATCATACACAGCTATCAGAAAATCCTCACCAGATACTGAGAATGATTTCCTTATGGCTTGGGAGGCTTGGGAAATACTGCCAAGATTCCCTTTAAGGTTTCTTTAGATGGCACTCAAGTCAGATTCCCATATGGAATTACTCCCCACACAGGAGCCTGACCTGGGGGAAGCGGAACAAAGCAGAGATTATTTACAAACTCCCCAAGCAGGGGCTGTTTTACATTTCTCCCACCCTGGATCTAATTCCATCGGTAAATACAGCACATATTAAGTTATAAAGCACATATATGATTATGAGAAGGCCCAGAAGTGCTACAGAGGATCCACCCTCCTGACACTGGAAGGCAGAGGCCGGGGCCGGGGGATGGCTGGACAGGCCGCCTGGGTTGCTGGCACCCAGGACTTAGCACCATCACAGAGGCAGAAAGGCTGATGCCAGCAGGCTCATGCGTTGCTTAAAGGCATCTTACAGGAATCATCTATGTTCTGAGGGGCAGTCTTCTGTCAGATAACTTTCGGGCAGTTTCCCTTCAAAGGAGGAAAACATGTAGTATGGTAGTTGCAACAGCCCTCTAAGCTCTCCCCGCAAAGTACCCTTGAAACCAGGCCCTGAAGTAACGCAGGCGAGACTGACACACATTGGTTCTTGGTGGAGTGAGCTTTGGCTGGTCTTTATTCAAAGAGGAAGGAAAACTTTCCACAAAACACAACAGTATTTACCGACTAGAGTGAACAAGTAACATTTCTGCTTTGGTTCACCTCCTGAAAATGTTGAATGAGAAAAAGGTGTAGTTTTTCCTTACTATTGAATCCACTTGTGTTTTCTTAATTGAGAAAGCCTCAAAATTGTCTTCAAATATTATGGGGATCCTGTTAAGATACTTTGCCTGTAGCTTATTTAAGCCCTAGACTTTCCTTGGTATCACATTTATTTAAAAGACGACATCAGAATGCTCATTCAGCAGGAAGGCAAAATGCCGTGTAAGGAAGCGCAGGCTTGGCCTCCGTGTCCCTCGGGCTGGTCGTCATGTGTCAGTGTGACAACGGAGGAGGAGCAAGCCCATCCCTAAGACCCCGCGTTGGGCCACTGGAGCCACCACTGACTGGACTTAGTGATCTGTTTTATGCAACCACCATTCAGATAATGTTTTCTTTCACATGTTTATTTATTTACATAAAGAAAGCAGAATGAAGTAAGGTAGTGTTTTGAAGTAAACCTACCTGGGTTCAACTGTCACCCCCATCACTTACTAGCTGTGTCACTGAGTTACTTAATCACTCCGGGCCTCACTTTCCTCATTAATGGGACAGCACATGTTGGCAGTTGCCTCTGCGATGGTCTCTATTCAGACTTCAGTGACAATCCGAGCTTGGTTCCACGCCTGGCACATGATGATTCAATAAATGCTTGTCGTTTTTATGATTATCTTGAGAATTTACACTTTCAAAGCACATAAGGAAAATCAAAGACCCTCTGTGTGTGCTTTCCTATAATGTCCTACAATAAGAAAGATTCTTGGTGTCTCTCCCACGTGGAACATATAATAGGGATTCCATAAACGCTGTGAATTAAATTGGAAACCCAGTTATTTTGAAGTATAAAATAGGTGAAAACAATTTTATTTTCAGAAAGAAAAGCACTAAAACAATTACTTAAAGAATCATGTTGGAAAAAATCTGATGAATGCTATAATATTAATGGCAACAATATTTTGTATAGGTTTGTCAAAAAGCTTTATGAGAGATAAACAATATTTCCATTGAATTAAAAATGTATCATGTAGGTTTGTTGAACTGGCTGATGGTTGATAATTTCTGGAATACATCAAGGTAAATCAGAACTCTCTGGAGGGGGAAAAAAACATGTCAGGTGCTATGAAAATGCTTGAGAGAGAACCTCCTGGCAATCTAATTTTGTTTGACCTTAATTCTTAATTTCTAAATTTAAAAAACACTTTGGATTCCAAGTAACAATTTTCAAGATATGTTTTAATGTGTTTTTAAATCACAGCAAACTAAGTGATCTCAATATTACAGGTTTTATTTACTTCCCTCCTTGGGCATTAAACATGTAACCTATACTCGTAAAGTTCTCACTTTATCTAGCAAAGTGGAGACCAAAGAAGTCCTGCTTAAGATGTTCTAATAAAAAACTGAGAAACTGGGGGAGGATACAGCTCAGTGATAGAGTGCATTGCTTAGCATGCACGAGGTCCTGGGTTTAATCCCCGGTACCTCCACTAAAAATAATAAATAAATAAATAAATCTAATTACCTCCATGGCTCAAAAAAATAAATAAAATAAAAAATATATATATTTTTTAATTGAGAAACCATTCTCTGGTATCTAACGCAAATCAAAGCTGTTACTTAAGAGTTACCGTGCATGCGTAAGCTTCTGTTGCTAGGTCTCTTTTACTGTGCGTCTGTGCGCGCGCGCACGCATGCACACGCGCACACATGCACACGCGCACACATGCACACGCGCACACATGCACACGCGCATGCGTTACCCATTCCAACAGAAACAAGAGCCAAAACAATCCTTATTTCTTTACATTTCTAATGTTCTAGTTAACAGTCTGTTTTGTCCTGTAGAAATTTTTCTTTCAAATGAAGAATTCAGACTCAAACTGCATATTGGTAACTATATTTTAAACCAAAAATTTCCTCACATAATAAATACATTTTATGCACATTAACTTCGAATTTACTTCAGAAAGCTATTTACAATATAAATAATTATAAAGGGGAACACTTTGCAAGATATCATTGACATAGCTAATATTTTCTACTTTACATTCCAAAGTAAAAGTTCAAATTACAGATTTATACTACGATGTCACTAAAAACTATACATTGCAAGATGGTATTTGAAATCTTGGCAATCAGTATTTTCTTTCACAAATATAATCCTTTTTTATAGCATGTCAGTCAAAAAACAAACATAAAATATTTTATCTTTTTTTGAAGTGCCTACTCATATGTTTCACTTTTTGAAATATTTCCCTTTGGGGAAAAATAATGGGAAAAAAAAGTTACAGTACTTCTAAAAATTTTTCCATGCCAATTTCATTTCTTTTGAAATGTAAACACACCAGGGTCGTTGGGTGGAAATTCAACTGTGATTACATGTGTTCCAGATTGGCAAATTAGGACAAACTCTCCACTATACAGGCTTATGAAAGCAAAGTCCCATGCAGCAAAATTGCAATAAATAAAATGATAAATGTTTGGTTTTAAGTTATTAATTAGGATTTCTTATGATGAACCATCAGTTTTTAAGGAGCACAGCAGAACAGAATCTTGTTACTTGTTTTACAACTGTGTATATGTGCGTGTAGACGAAATGAACACACACACACACAGCCTTTCTGCATACCATCCTAGAAAAGGAACTCTGAGCAAACCCCTGTTTGGATATGGGCACAATCTCCCTTTTTGAGTTCAGCATTACCCGTACGACTCTTGTGCACAAAAAATGAGCCCCACACAGAAATTTCTCCCAAGAACATTTTCTATGCATGTGTCCACAGCTGTTCTGTCATTCATTTAAAGTTGACAGTGAAAATGATTGTTTTATCCACAATGCATTTCCCAGCAAAAATTAACCAATTGATTTTGCGATCTTATAGTCTAATTCTGACTCACAAAAGCTGACATTGACATGAGAGAACCATAGGGTTTACATTTATTGTTAAGTCATTTGGAAAATAAGATGTATGTTTATGTCCTGTGATTTGTGTGAATGAAGGAACCAAATCTGGGCAAACTTTTCAAGTCAAAGAGAGTGTATTAAAGCATAAGTTATTCCACTGGGCTAGGTAAGTGACCCCAAAATGGTCAAATCCTCGGTTTTCCAAATATCAGCATTCACTCTGACACTTGCAAATACTATTAGTACTAACAGAATTGCACTGAATATATTAGTAATAGCTGACTCTTGAAAGAAAGAGAGAGAGCTCTAAAATATCATCTCTGTATCCAGAAGGTCTCTTTAGCTGTAGTGTCTTCTATCAAACTTATTTGGTCTAGGTTTTGGGAGTGGGGGAAAAGCCTTTCATTTTATTCTAAAATATCTATGCATATTTTCCAAACGACCTTTTATTGAATCGATCCTCACCCCCCATTAAAAAAGAACAGAAAATGGAGCATATTACCCTCTTCTAGAAGAGCCCATTAAAGCTTAAAATTTTAAGTGGGATTCTCTGCCCAGAGGGAGCACGTGGCAGCAGGGGGCGGAGGGAACTAAGAAGAGTACTGAAAGGAAATGTGCTAGTCCTATAAAATACAATCAAGAACGAATAAATGAGTTTTCTGTATAAACACTGAAGGCAATCACTCGTTGCATCCTGTCTCATGCTGAATGCCACCTCAGCCCTGTGTCGGATTAGTCTCTATCAGGCAATTACAGTTAAGAAAAAGCGAGGCTATTATCCTCAGCATAGTGTGTCAAAAGACCTGTGGAGCTGAAGCGCACCTAAATGTCTGACCCATAGGGATTGTGACATTAGTATTGTGCATCCCAAAATAATACGTCAAACCTGTATATTCTCAAAAATGGGTTTGAACTCACTTTTCCCAAGGAAGATGGGGAAATATTCATTTATTTCTTTGGTCATCCAAATTTTTTAGTTAGGTGGGGCAGACAGGTAAAATGAGAAGTAAAGAAACTCCTTCTATTACTCAAAAGTGTGAGATTTGTATTATCTAATGAATTGCTACATATTGTACTAGTAATTGGATATAACACACTTTTATGAATCCCCAGTGATAAAAAAAATCGTACTTCTCTATTTCAATCATGTGTCATGATTCTCAGCATCTGGGAAAGCAATGAAAATCATGTATTAAAACTAAAGCCAATTTAAGTTTAGTTTTAACTGGGAACATACATATATAGGCATTAAATGTAATGTAATAAAGCTGCTACTATAAAATTGTTGACATGTGAATTAAATAAATTGTTTGTATTTTGGTCAATTTACCAAAATTTTAATCAAGATGAAATTCAAGTAATTCTGTCTTCACTTAAAAATATAGGTCATACTATTTGAAAGAGCATTATTCCTTCTGATTATCCCGTTTGTAGAGTTCATAGTTTATTTCTTTCATCAATTAACTATCTCCCATAAAAAAAAATTCCACAGAAATTTATTCAGTTAAGAGTCTTTTCTTTCGTAACAGTTCATTGTCCTTGACTCTTAAGATTCCATTTCTTTTATAGCATCTCTCCCTAACATTTTTGTTAAAAAGTGTATCCATCAGTAAAACCCATCTGTACAGATTTCCTTTCCAAAATGCACCATATTCTTGAGATAGTTGTGTCTTTGGACCCTTTGGCCATCTACAGAATTCTGCAAGAACTTTAACATTCCTAAAACCTTACCTCATGTTGCAAATTGATCAAAAATCCACCTTAAGTGTGCCAGGGGTTCCCATAAATATCTTTCTCAAAATTACTGAATCCTTTTGCTTGTGTAGTTCAAAATTTAGTCTTTATTGTTCTTTGAACATTTTTAAAAGGATATATGATAAGCACTAACTTTCTCACTCACTTGCACTTTTTCCATTTACAGCACAAATGTTGCTCTGTCATACCCAAGAAATATTTAATTTTATGTAGCCTCTTTACTCATATACAAACAACCCAGTATTCATCTCTCAGGTTACCATCATTCAGAACATCACGTACCTCTGGACTGCCAAATAACTGTGTTAAACGATGAAAATACAGTACTAATCCCTGAGTGTTCAGTGTCATGTTCTGTCTTCAAAATGATAAGCCAAGTTTTGCCAATGCATTCCCATCCTTCCATATGGCAAGAGTTGTGGGCAGAGGATTCCTAGGGAATATTACCTATGAAACTTCTCTAATCACTTATGTCACTTTGCTTTGATTGCTAGAGAATTATGCATTAAATAATCTTACTTGGTTTTCTTCTCCCTCATCAGTTTGTACCATCTACACTTTGACTGAACTAGAAAGCTGACTGTCACTATACACACCTAAAAGAGCCCATGCACCTGCTTGAGTTTCAAAGCACCCAGACCTCTGTACAAGCACAGAAAAGCCAGAATGATAAGACTTGGATACCTCACAGCAGAGAGTTAACTGGTTAACAAGTTCAGTTCTGCTGGACTAACGAAGCACAGAACCAGGGAACATTAGAACTTCCATACAGACAAAGAAACTGGGGTCCAGGCATGCTGAGTGACACATCAGTGCTCCCAAAAGAAGTTACAGGCAGGGAGAGAACTGGAACCCAGAGATCCCGGCACCTAGTCTGCTGGTCTTTATACTGTATCACATGAACTTAAGACTAAGTTTGTGGTTTTTGTTGTTTGCAAACAATAGGCAAAATGAACGCTTTGCCTGATCCTTGGGTCAGAGAACTACTCTTGCTCTTTAACCACGTGTCTATCAGCCCAGGCTTTTATCTTAGACTCTCTCCTGAGGCTTTCCACATGTCACATTTGCACATCTGGGCTTTGAAATGTGTTCAAACACTTACACTGCTGTCATGAAGCACTTCACTGGTTTTCCTTAGGTTTCTTTTTTTTTTTCTTTTTTGCACGTATCAGCCTTTTTTCTTGGTGAATTAGCTTGACTCTTTTATTTGTTTAGTTTTATGAGCCCCAAATATGTTGATTACATGTGCTGACCCTTAAATTGTTTGTTTTGAGATACCATTTCTTTTTTTTTGCTGCCTCCAGCCTTTGCATCTTTACTAACTTATTTTCATTTGGGCACCCCCAAGCTTTTGATGTGTGTCCCAACATCTTGGTGTTTTTACTTAGAAGAACCCTCACTGCTATGTCAGTGTGATCCTGTTCCTTGTATAACTCAAAAGTGAGGTGAAAAATCACCACTTCCTGATTGCTTGTAATGGAAACCAGGTGAAAACTCATTCTTGTATCATATCCAGAAATATTTCCTTAATTTATGCCTGAACCAAATGAGCTGGATGATTGAAAGCACAGAGAAGAAGCCAGTTTACAAGAGGTATCTCTCTCTTTCTTAGTTACTTGGGGAGTGGAAATTTCTTTAAGAAGCTTAATGTGCTAAAGTTAAGGAAAGTAACCTACTCTGGGTGTATTTATGGTATATAGTTTCTATTTCCGTATGTAAAGTATATACAGCAGTTTGCAGATAGTGATCTGTGTGTGTGAAGTTCACTGGATCATCATGCCATCCGTCAGTCCTTTCACGTGGTGTATAAGCTCACTTAATCTACATAAGTATTTTTCAATTCAAAATTTATCTATTCTGATTCCCATATAAATAGAGGGGCAATGTGTATATTCACTTCAACTCCACTGTCTGTGTGTAACCCTGAATGCCAACGCTGTTGTCTTCGATTTCACAGGAACACATGTTAAATACCTAGTAACTTAAATTATACACTCTAACAATCTGTGGCATTGTAAATGCTGGTAATGGGGCATTAAATGATAAATATGTTTCAGAGATCCTTAAAGAACAAAATGTTTTAGAAAAACATCAGCTTCCATTGGTTATTATAACAGATGTTCCCTTGTGTCCTTGTGTGGGATCTGGCTGCATCCTCAGATGGGAAGTTACATCAAAGTGTGAGCCATTACAGCCCAAGGAATAGTTTCTAATAGTTTCACTGTCATATAAGTGCTCCAGGGTGTATCCAGTTAATGTGTAAGCATGCTTATCAAAATACTGCCGGTGTGTGCCAAAGCAGTTTGGAGAGACGGCAGGATGGTCTCCTGCTGTCTGGTGAGGAGACATATCCGAATGGAGATAGTCTTTAGCTAGGATCAAACTGGATTTTGAAATGCGATCCGAATTGGGACTACTTATCCGAGACAGTGCTGTGGGACTGTTGTCATAGTCATTATCGTGGGGGCTCAGCATTTTTCCCTCTCTCTGCTGGATGTGGTCACACGGCGAAGTGTTGGCAAGAGCGGAGCCATGGCAGACCTCCCCTGTCGGTGGGGGCTGCTGGTAGTTTGCAAAACAGAGGGAGTGTTTTTTCCCAGCTCCATTAATGGAAGCCAGTTGGTCTGGGGGGCCTTTCCTTAGCTGCAATCTGTTCTCTTCTTCTTTAATCATTTGCTGGGTGGCTCTTATCAGAGTTTCAATTTTGCTAGGTTCATGCGGGCTACTTTGATACGGCTCAGTGCGATACCGGTCACCTGATTCGCTGGCAGACCCAGGGTCTGGAGAGCTGACCACACTCTCTTCATCCCAATGACCTCGCCCTAGAAATCAGAAAAAGTAAAAAGTAAGTGGTCTCAAAACTCACCCCCACCTCAAATGTAAGTATATTTCTTTTTCCCATTAAAAGAAACCTTATATCTTCCATTTTTGATATATGCACCAATATTTGAAACAGACACAGGCTCACATGACAGAGTGTCAACATTTGTCCTGGAATTCACAGTTCTCAGTGGCTTTTAAGTGCAGATGAAATTTATAACAAGTTTTTGAGACGGTAAACTTTGTTCGTGGGTTGTGAATACCAATTAGCAAAGTGGTAAAGTATGTTTATATTTGCCCATGTATGCACGTCCCTGGGCCTGTCCAGCTGTAAATAATAAAAGGAAAATTCATAGCACTTGGTTTCTGTTATTTTTCTACAGAAGTGTTATATTGAATTGATGCTTAGAAAATGCTTCCAGTTGGGTTTGAGGAAGGTGATGATACAGGCTGAACTGTTTTTTCAATTCCAACTAAGTCACCTGAGTGTTAAAATTGCTATATGTATCATAAGTAGAGTTAAAGCTCTAACGTTAGTTTTTAAACTATTATATATATACATATTCATATATATGTATATGTATACACGGATATATCTGTATATATCTTGTTCAATCAAAAATATAAATATTGTCTTCTCAAATCTAGTGGTAAAAAATCTCAATTTCACACATAATTGTACAGTAACTCTGGTATCTTAGATTGCTTCTGAAATAAGGTGAGGAACAAATAAACATTTAAAAAATGAATAACAACCTGTTCTGAACCAAGAAGAGACATCTAATATGGAGGAGGAGTGCATCCAAAATCTATTCCATAAACTGCACTGTTCTCAGAACAGTCTAAAGTCAGTACAAACAGAGAAGAGAGGCAGAAAGGGACACATGAAAGCTGTCAACTGCTTAACGCAGCAGAGAAGCCCTGGATCACACTTTCCCTTTCCCTTTTCTTCTTATTTTATTTCTAATATTTTCCTCCCGACCATGTAGGTTAAGCCAGGATTTTCACTTCACTCCATTCTTTGGCAAGTAATTGCCCTTTGCCCTGGGTTTCCATTCCCAGTCTACTAGAGAAAGTCAAAGCAAAAGCAGAAAAAGCAAAAGCAAAATGGAAACAAAGTAAAATCATTCACAGAGAACAGACAGTGCCTAGGTGGTATTTGCAGACTTTTTTGGGTGAGAACAACAACGTCTAGCACATTTCTCATCCTAGAGACACAGCAAGAAAAATAACACGGCTGTCGGATTGATCTTAATGTCACTGACTTTTAACGAAATAGGGAGCGTTTTCAAGACCTGCCTGGACCCAAGCTTGGAATGGACAGAATGAGTGCTCCTTGTGCAATTTACCTTAAGAGGAACAAAGAAGAGCATTAATAACACTAAGGGCTTTTACTGCAGTGCCCGTCTCTGTGTGTTCATTAAAGCCATGTAACAATCCCCAGGTGAAACTCTCCATAGGTTCCACACCTCACTCCATCCTTTATTCACAGGGACACGGTGGGTTGTCCTAATGATGGAGGGAGGGGGCAGGTACTGGCATTTAATTCCCAGAGGTCCAGGAAGGTTAAACTACCTGTGATGTGAGTGAAAGGCCATAAAATAAAGACAGGCATCCCCCAAACGCCAAAAGTGTCCTCACCGAGAAACCCTGCTAAATGAGCCCTAACCTGCCAGGGTCCACATTTGAAGCCAAAGAATACAGAATCAAATTGCACACAAGACATGTAATGCATATATGCTACATTTCAACAGACTGACTCAACAATTCACTTTAATTTAATTCCTTTACTTTTTTTGATGTTAAAATGAGGATCATTTTTACTCGCCTGTCAAAAATAAATTCATTTAGCAAATATCAGCAAAGTTAATACACTTCAAAAGAGTGGATTTGGTTTTTCAAATCCCATTAGTGTGAGTTTCTGATTTGTAAAGCCCAGCAAGAAAACCCCTGGGTGGGGGTCCCTCCACGGTCAATGATGCACCTGCCCAGGGGCACAAGGCTGTGAGTCAGGGGTGGTTGGAAATGGCCTTACCGTGGATCCTGTGGACCGAAGCGATGTGAGGCATGCTGCTGTCGTAGGCTTCTCTGCTCTCTGGGGAGGCCTTGGTCAGGGGCAGGGCTGCTCGAGAGCCCCACCAGGGCTCCCTCCCCGCCTGCGGCGCTCCCAGAAAGTACCTGCCTGCCTCACACCGGCCGCTCTCGCAGGCCTGGGTGTGGAAATGCCTCTCCTCCACCAGCCTGGGATGGTCGAGTGCAAAGCCATAGCAGAGGGCGCTGCGCTCCGAAAACTGCCTGTAGGCACAGGACGCGTCGTGCTGGGAGCCTGGCCGGTCCGCGGGGTCCAAGAGCTGTGGGGAGGCTGTGTCGGTCAGTGGGCTGCCGCCCCACTGGCTGTCGTGATCAGATTCAGATCTTTCCGTGGGAAATCCTGGATACTGAAACCGAGAGGGTGAGAAAAGTGCATTTAAAAAAAAAGGAAGGAAGGAAGGAAGGAAGGGGAAGGGAAAGGAGAAGAAAGAAAAGAAAAGAAAAGGAGAAGGAAAAGAAAGAAAGAATGGAAGGAATCTGTTTTACTCTGAAACACCCTTAAGGTCATATTGGGCTTCAGTCACCAAAATAAGATTCTAAGAACTCTAGCACTAAGAACCACGTTGGGCACCCCAGACTTGGAATCAACTCATCAGTCATGGTACCTCAAAAGAAAATCCTTTCGGCTGCTGAAAGCAGTTATTATTAGAAATAATAAAAAACAGGGACTGAAAATATCAGGCACTGTTGGAAGTACTTCACGTGAATCACTTTACATAATTCTTAGTAGCGCTTTAGTGGAGATACTTGTAACCCATTATATGGCTGGAGAAACTAAGACTCTAAGAGGGAAAATGATTTACTCAAGACCACAGGATTAGTGGGTGGCAAAGCCAAGATTCAAGCCCACGTTCTCCGTCACCTCCCAAATGGTATTGCCGAAGGGGGAGTCCAAGAAAGCACCATATTTTATTCCTATTTGCTTTTCACATTTTTTCTTACTTAAAAACAAAACAAAAATAAGACTTAAGGCTGCATACTGACTGTTAACTCTCTGAGAGCTATGCTGGATACATGGCAAGGTAGTTAATAAATGCTTTCCTAATCTCAATGTGACTTTGGAGAAGCCTTGCCCCATATAAGGTGGGCCTATGCACGAGGATGTGTTTCTTGCTTTCTAAAGCACAACTTCAAACATGCACGGGCTCCTCGGGACAACACAGCTGCAGGCAAGGCTGTGCCTTGTTGGAATCATGCTGCTCACCTGTTGCCAGCGTATTTGATCAGGTGTTTGAAAGAAAACATAGAAGTCCCTGCAGACCTCCCTAGGAGGTGTGCTCAGTTTGAAGGGCCTCAAGAGCCACTAAAATCAGTGCTGTAATCATTTCTACCAGTTTTTGGTTACCTAGTGCCAAACACAATACTATGTACCATACAGAGATTAACTGCTATACTAATAATAGATGTCATTTATTGAGAACTTACTGTGTGCCTGGCAATGCACTAATCATTCATTATATATTACACCAATGAATCCTTGTAACCACCTGGCCAGTAACGGATCTCCGTTTTATAGATGAGGACACTGCACACTGAGAATTTTAGTAAGATGTTACTGCCACCCCATAGGCTATCTGGTCTCAAAGCCTGCACTCTAAACCATGGTTTTATACCTGAGAGACAACACCGGTAAGGAAGAGAAGAGCGAAAAAAGGATTCAGTGCTGGAAAGATTTCCGGAAAAGTGGCAGGAACTGCTTAACAGTCTCAGGAACCAAAATGTAAGACCAGTTTACATTTTCTTTCTTATCCGCAAGAAGAAAGAGGGATGGGCGTGTGTGGGGGTGGGGGTGGGGGAGAGGAGAAATTCCTGGGCTCCACTGTTCTTGTCACACGCTGGTTAGCTGAGCAAATCTGACCCATGATGAGACCTCCACAGGACGACGCAAACTCTCCCTTCCCAGAGGAAGAGTCCCAGCTCTTCCCAACTCAGTGCCAACCAACAGTTCCGCCAGGTCCCCGGGAGCCAGAAGGATGAGGCCCTCCAAATCACACTGGAACTCCTCCAGGGGTTTTCCCGGGCACTCAAAAGCCTGCTGATACACACAGTGCGCTCAGGCCAGAGTTCTAGGCAATTCCAGGTTCAGGGTTTTTCCATGACCATTTCTAATATTGCTTTAATTATTTTCCAAATGAACATCTGGACCATCAGCATAGTCCATCAAGGAAAAAAGAACAGAAAATCCAACTTGTCTGCCGCAGGCCTGAAGGAAGGGCACACGGAGGCATCCGGAGCAGCATTTCTCTGCACCCGCCTCCACGAGCCACCGCCTTTTCTCTCTGTGACGGTGGCCGCTCTTTTCAGAGACGCCACCTTCGCTTTCACCAAGTTGGGGCCAGCACCTCTCTCCTTCCTGAGCGGGGACCACAGCGCTACCCATTCTCACTCGGAGCGCCACCCCGGTGCGGGCCTAGAAAGAATTCAGATCGTCAGGGCTCTTCCAAGCAAGGAACTGCCCAGGCTTTGCTTGTTTTCATAAAAGTATAAAGCAGGCCTATTTCTGAAGTACTCCAGTCAAGACTTTTGAGCCCTGCTGAGAGGGGGAAAAGCCTTCCCTAAGTGTATGCGGGAAAGAGCTATTGGCGCAGCAGAGAGGAACATTCTGACCTTCTCTGACGAAGAAAATTCAACACGAGGCAACCCTAGCACACATGAGGTACACATTTCAAGAGCACCCAAAGAAGAATCAGACAGACAAGCCTCTTGTCAATAAATCAAGAAACTACAGCAGCAAGTGCACTGCCCTTTGAGCAGGCGGGAGCTGGGTGGTTCAGTAAGACCGAGAATACCCACTGCTTCCGAGGTACGGAGGAGAAGCCCAGCCTTCATTTATAAGGAGAAGGCCTGTAAACTTGAACCTGTGTGCACTGTCAAAACTGCGAGCCACATCTACCCTTTAAGATGAACTGCGCTCCGTTAACTATCCAGCCCTGTAATCTGATCTGAAATAGTTCAGGTGTTCATTAAGTATTTGAAGAAAGAGAAAGGGCAGAAAGGGAGGAAGGCAGCCAGGCAATGTTGGCAGGGCGTGTACCCAATAAACCAATGCTATGTACCAAGGCTTCCAGTCTCCCTCCACCTACTTCTGCTACTTACGGCGTGGAAAGTTGTGAGCAAATGCTTGAATTTCTTTTGTCTCAACAGGAAAAGGGTCATGATGGTACTTAATCTACCAACCTACTATGATACATTTTTTTTGTAACCATAGAACCACCACCTCTTAATTTTACTTAGAAACACTGAGCGAGTTTTAATTCAAGTGGGTGTAAATCTTGATAAGTGATACCGTCTGTCTTAACTGTACCGAAAATAAAACATTTAAAAACAACCATTTGAAGGTCAAGTTCAAAGACTGAAGCAGAGTTGGGGCCACTTAATGGAAGAGGCACTAGGAACAGGGTGCCAGGAGGACCTGGTCCCAGGTCCATCCTTGCTAGTAACTCTCAGGATAACCTCGGGAAAATTACTTTTCCTTTCTTAGCCTCACCTGTAGAATGACAATATTCGGTTAGTCTTTCTTGAACTTTTCCTTCAGCTCTAACATTCTGTAGGACACAATAATTATTTGGTATCTTTTCTAGTGTTGAAACATATGCTCCCTATGCCTGTTCCTATATTGCACTTATTTAAAGTTGATAATTATTTAGAACTATAATCCAAGACCAAGAATTTTTATTGTTATGGTTATAGGAAGAAGGTCATTATGTCAGTTATAATTTTACTATAATGTCAATTTTCCCCCAACTGTCCCATTATGAACAATTTTTATAGGGATTATGAGGCCTTATGATCAATAAATTATTCCATTCTAGAGGCTTCTGAGTATGAAGGATGATGACAGCCATTTGAATCTGCAACTCGTCACACATCCTCTCCCAAGAACCTGTAAGGTCATCAAAAAGCACAAATTAAATCTCATGTGACCTATGCTGTTACTAGGTGGCAGGGAAAATGCTAAACTTCAAATTATGTGTAAGTAAAAAAATTAAAAGACCAACAGCAGCTGTGAGCCTGTGGGTGCAGAAAATAGGGTACAGAGAGGTTTAAGAGACTCCATGAAAGAGAGAGAGAGAAAGGAATTTAGGACATAGTTAATATGAAGAAAATCATTGCCAGAGAAAGCACAGGTAAGTGCCAGACTATGAACACCAGTCAGTATGCAGTGGCTCACAGCACTGGTCACAGGAAAGGGACACAAAATCAGGCAAAAGCCAAAGTGGCAGCCTTAGACAAGTGTCATTTCCATAAAAGAAGGCTATAAATTGAGAAAGGGCTGTGTCCTTCGGAGACATAGCAGTGAAAGGAAAGAAGGAAGAGGGAGAAATTAAGGGTCTAGCAGATACACAAGGAAGAAGCTCCACAAGACAGGCTTATCCTCCCTCCTGCCCATCTCCACCATAATCATCATGTATTTAAAAAACTGACAGAAAAGGGTAACCTTGACATAGTAGCCCAGCCCATGAAATGCCAGAGTAAGAAAAAATTAAACTCCCTATAAAACTCCTGTAGGAAAGAAACATGAAATTGGAAATACAAACATCTCAGCTGATAAAAAATTGACATCAAACAACCAACCATGAAATAAAAGAAAATTGTAAGACAACACTCCAAACTGAAACAAGTACTCTCAACAAGCATTTGGAGACACACACGCACGTGCACACGACATACACACGACATACATATGACTTACACGAGGGTGCACATACCTGGAATCAGAAATTTTGAAACTAAGAAACCATCAACAGCAATAAAAACAAACACCAAACAATAACAAAACATGAAAAAAAAGCAATAAAAACTAACCCAGCTCAAAGAAATAAAGAATAAACTACAAGCTGTAAAAAGGAAAATAGATTTTAAATGAAAATGTAATAAGGGAAATTGAAGGCAAACTAGAAAACATGTAAGGAAACAAAAATTGGTCAGAGAAAACAAAAAGATCAGAGAAAGTGGTTGAAAGAAGGTAGAAAAGTTTCAAAATGTACATAGATTTATATAGAAGGCAAAGGAACTGGAATTGCTAAAACAATTTGAAAAAGAAGAATAAACTGAGAGAATGGGTCTATCTCCCTACCCTCAAAACTTACCACACAGCTACAGTCATCATACCTGTGTGGGACTGATGGGCACACAGATGCACAGAGCAATAGAACAGAATGGAGAACCCAGAGACAGGCCCACACAAATGTGTCCAGCTGATTTTTGACAAAGGTACAAAACCAACTCACTGGAGTAAAGACAGACTTCTCCAGGAATGCTGCTGGAGTAGTTAGACATCCATCAGCAAAAATAAAATGAACCTCAACCTAGGTCTCATACTTTATATAACAATTAGCTCAAATGG